TTTCCAACAATGGCTCTGTTTGCTCGATCATAGCCATCATATCCATTTACTAACAGATGGCTCTGCCGGCTCTGTTGCCCTAACCCTAAGGCTTTGCGGGTAATCCTTTGTTCCGATGTGCATTAGTCTCGTAGTGACTAACCTGATCCATTGGCTGTGACGTTCTGATTCTCTGACAGGTATCTTAATTATTTTAATCTAGAATTTATAAAAATAATTCTTTAATAATTTAGTTATAAGTCTAAAAATATTATTTAGTAGCTAGCAATCCTAATATTTAATAATAATAATAATTAGATTAATCTTTAGATAATATTAGTATTTAAGAATAAAGAGAGTAAGGATTTAGATTTAATTACTATAAATTAATTATAATAAAAAAGAGATGTAATTATTAACTATTATCTATTATTTCTAGATAGAGCTTTAGAAGAAAAGTATAATAAAGAATATAAGAATAAAATTAAAAATCTAAAATAAAATTAATTATTAAATAATTATTAGATAAAAATAAAGAATCTATTCCTTTAATTATTATTTATATTTAAAGATCTCTATATAATCTAGCTCTAATCTATTAGAGTTATTAAACTTCTAAGCTATACTTATTATATTATTTTAGATAGTTGATTGGCTTTTAATGGGCTAGAATAATAAGATAGATAATATATAATTATTTATAATTTGGTTTTAGTATTAAATAAGCTTCTGCTAGGTTTAGATATACTATATTTAGCTTTAGGTATTCTACAGCGGCTGGATTAGATCTTATAAAATCTTTCTATAGGAAAACATATTAATAAGTTAGATATTCTAATAGCTTAGCTATAATATATAATTATAATAAAGAAGCTGCTTAATTTATCTTTAGAGTTAGTTTATATAGTAATAGATAAGTAATAATAATGTCTTTTTTAATTCTAAGAGTTAATATAGATTTTTAATAATATTAGAATCTATTTTGATAAGGTAAATATAAATATCTATAATTTATAATTAAAATATGATTTTAGAGATATACTAGCTATTTTAGATAATATATAGAAAGGAATCTTAATTTTAGATTATATAATACTTATCTAGAAATATTTTTAGAGATAATAAATAATTAATAGTAATAGAAGAGAATAAAGCTTAATACTTGGGTATATTAGTGTATAGATATATATATGATAGGTAGAGATATAGAGAGATAGTAGGCAATATAATTAAGTAAGCTAGGATAATAATAAAATATTAGATTTATTCTTTTTCTTAAAATAAGATCTAGAGATAAGTATAATATTAAGATATTAATCTTTAAGATTTCCTCTATCTATATTCTTAATTATAATATTATTATATGTAATTAGTATTATAAAAATAATAATAATAATACTTTATATAATAAAGAAAGCTAAGACTAATAGAAAGATTATAAATCTTAGTAATATTATTAGAGAGCTAAATTATTTTATTTAAATTATTAATAATACTATAATATTAGAGATACTATTTAATATTTTATTATTAAGATTATCTAATATAATGTTTCTAAAAAAGGTATTAGAAAAGATTGTGATAGATATAATATAAATTATACTTAGTATAGAGAATTGTCTATCATTAAGTAAAAATATAAAGATAGAATAAAAAGTTAGATTCTTTCATTAATATAAAAGATCTAATTAAATTATAAAAGTAAGACATCTATAAAAAAAGAAAGAATATATTAATATAAAAAAATCTAGAAAATAATAACTATAAAAGAGTTTTAAATAAAAATAAACTATAATACTGATTTCTCTTAAACTATAAATAAAGTTAACTATATATATTCTAGCTCCCAAGAACTTTGTTAGCCGTAACCCTAAACTATCCTTTGGTTCAACGCAAACTAATGATAGTTTTAGGCTTAGGGATGCATTCTTATAAAGAAAGGAATAGCTATAAGATAAAATCTTAGATAGAATTAAAAATAGCTTTAAAATATAATAGATATATAATCTTACCTAGCTTTCTATTACTAATTAGACTAGGGGTTTAGTATATACTGTCTTAAAACCATAGGTGGCCTTAAGCCTTTATGAAGTAGTGATTAGCTGCTGAGCATATGTATATATACATTATATATTTGAATCTATTCCTAGGCCAAAGCCAAATCCCAGCTATGTTCTTGCAACCCCCGTCACAAAAAGATAAAGCTTCATATTTAGATATATTAATATGTAAATATATATATAATAGATAGGGATATAGAAAGATAGTAGATAGTATAATTAAGTAAGCTAAAATAATAGTAAAGTACTAGATTTATTCTTTTTCTTAAAATAAAATTTAAAGATAAGCATAATATTAAGATATTAGTCCTTAAGACTTCCTCTATCTATATTCTTGATTATAATGTTATTATATACAACCAGTACTATAGAAATAATAATAATAGTACTCTATATAATAAAAAAAGCTAAAAGTAATAAAAAGATTATAAATTTTAGCAATATTATTAGAGGATTAAATCACTTTATTTAAGCTATTAGTAATACTATAATATTAAAGGTGCTATTCAATATTCTATTATTAGGATCATCTAATATGATATTTCTAAAAAAGATATTAAAAAAGACTATAATACATGTAGTATAAGCTATACTCAGTATAGAGAATTACCTATTATTAAATAAAGATATAAAGATAGGATAAAAAATTAGATTCTTCTATTAATATAAAAGATCTAATCAGATTATAAGAATAAGACATTTATAAAAAGAGAAAAAATATATTAATATAAAAAAATCTAAAAAATAATAACTATAAAAGAGTTATAAATAAAAATAAATTATAATACTAATTTCCCCTAAACTATAAATAAAGCTAGTCATATACATTCTAACTCCTGAGAACTTTGTTAGCTATAACCCTAAATTATCCTTTGGTTCAACGCGAACTAATGATAGAAGATTATATACTTAAGTTATTTTAATTAATTTAAGATAATAGAAGAAAATTAAATATAGAATAAATAAGTATTCTTATATAATTTTTTTCTATTATAGCTATTATAGTTATTTCTATATATTTGACTCTAATAAATCGAATTATATCTATTATAGCTAGATATTAATAATTGGCTTTAATAGCTATCATAGCCTTAATCCTGATATGTCTTAGCTCATATGTGACATTCTTAGATAATCCTTTGTTCCCACGCGTTAGCGTTCCTTATCCATTGGCTGTGACGTTCTGATTCTCTGACAAGAATATTATAGTTAATGAAGTAGATTAGTCCCTATAAAATTAATATATAATAGAATAAAGGATTATCTAAACTGCTAAGGTTAGGGTAATAAAACTAATAAAGCTGAGGCTATATTGACTATATCTATAAGAATAGAGTGGATAGAGCAATTGCTATATTAGTTATAATAAAGGAAAGTTATATAAGGATGTTTATTTATTCTATATTTAGTTTTCTTCTATTATCTTGAATTAATTAAGATAACTTAAGTATATGATCTTCTTTTAATTAGGATATTCTATTTTTATTTAAAGACTTTATTTGTTTTTATAACTTTTATATACTAGAAGCCTATTAACTTCGCCCATTAATAGCTATCCTAGCTATACTCGACGGTAATCAGACCGAAGTTTCCGACATCTACCTACTAATGTTATTTTTTCCACTTCGCATTGGTTTCATCTGATACATAGCTTAGGCAGCTACCGATCCTGCCTCTGACCTAAGTCTAGCTATGATTTTGTGATGCATTTCCCTTGGTATCATTTTGCAGTCATGATGCTGCCAAACTGGCTGAGGAAGGTCGATATCTGCGCCGTAACTAAGCAATACCTGAACTTTGTCTCGATATCCCAGCTCCATGGCCACCTGTATTGGTCTCCCACAGCACATGTAAAATCGTTCAGACATATCCATGAAAGTGAAACCCGGCTCGAAGTTGCTCAGATCGTGATAGCCGATATTGGGATCTGCGCCATGATCGAGTAACAACTGCACAAGGTCCACGTCACCAAAAAGGATAGCCCTAACGAGTGGTGGGATGTACTCGTCCGGCTCGGATATGTCTTCTATTGTTGCATCCAGCTCCCACTCCAAACCGTCCACGCAAGCACCGGGGCCTTGTGGTCGATCTGAATCTTCAAAATCGCATTTGGCCCCGTTCGCGAGCAAGGTATTGATAATCGGGAGATCATTTTTGCTGACGGCATGCGCCAACGCTCTGGTGCGAGGCACGCGGTCTGTTCTTTGAACAAGGATTTCTGTGAGCTCTTGGTTTCCTTTTTTTACTGCGGTAAGTAAAGTTTGGCCTCCCAAAACACATGAATGATCCTGGTTAGCGTCGGCGCCATTCTCGAGGAATAGTCGTACGGTCTCAACGTCTCCCAACTTTGTGACATAATGTATTGGTGTTGTCCGGGCAAACTTGAGTTCAATGTCAAGATTGATGCTATACTCTTTCAGCAGCTTGGGCAACAGGTGCATATATTGATTTTCCAGCACTGCTTCGAATGCCTCCTGGCATTGCGCTGCATCTGGTGAAGAAGTATCGACGTTGTTGGCGTTGAAATTGGTAGCTATGCCCTGGCGCTTTTTAGATCTAGCTTTGGACGATCGATTTTGAGACTGCTTCTCTCGGTTTGAGTTTATGGGCTTTTCGGTCTTTGTGGAGCGATTATAGAAATGGAATTTTTGGCTCTGGCGTTGCCATATCAACTCCCAGTCATCTTTCTGCTCAGCTGCCTTCTGCTCAGTCGATCCTTCATGGGATTCAACCACAGTCAGTCCTTTGATGCTTGGAGGCGCGTTCTCACTTGGAGGGTTGTTATAGTTCCAAGCCGCGACAATATCCTCCCATGTTGTCTGTGGAGGATATTTTTCTTGTGAAAAGACCATCTCACATTTATGAGGCTTGAAAGCAGGTTCATATTCCCGCTGTGCAACTTTATCCCAATCAAGGTCATCGAAAAAGCGATGAGCCTTAATTTCAGCTGCCCCATGTCTCACTCCTAGTCGATCTTCTGGTTTGCGAGAAAGAAGCTTGTTCAGAAGATCGTGTGCGGATTCTGATAGATATTTGGATTTCTCAAGAGGTTGTTCTGAGAGGATATTGTGATGTCTTTGCTCTGCGTCTTCGTCGTAAAACGGAGGCAAGCCTGTCAGCATCTCGAACAGGAAAGACCCCAACGTCCACCACTTTGATGCGCTGGTGGAAGTCTCAGTTGATAATATACCTTTTCTCGAAAGTAATTCAGGAGCTTGGTAGTCTAACGTAACATCAATCGTTTTTTCCATGTCACTTGTCTCTAGATGCAAAAAGCCTAGATCGCACAGAACAACATGGCCCACGGAATCAAGGAGAATATTCTTGGGCTTCAACTCGTGATAAGAAGGATCTACTTCATGTAGCTGCTCCAGTGCGATAAGCATCTCTGCAGCATACAATCTTGCCCTGTCCTCCTCAAACAGTAACGCTTGTTGCAGATGGTAGAAAAGGTGTCCACCTGAAATGAACGGCCAGTATAAAGAGATATATGAGCGTGTTTGTGCGATGAATTTGAGTGGTGCGATAAAGGGGATATTGTTGATTGGTGAAAGGGGTAATGACCGTAGTATGTCAGGGGAATGTGATAAAATGGTGTCTTTCTGGATAGTGGTGGATGCATAGAAGCGTTTAGTTGAGTCTTTCTTGAGTTTATACACAGATTTGAAGCGACTGTGTCCAATGGAATGGGATTCCTCCCAAACTTGGATTTGCAGACTCTTGTTCTTGCTATATTCGCTCTCAACAAGCAATTTTCCAGTGCCATTCTCGATTGTCAGCCATTCCATTTGATGAGAGTCGTCGTCTCCTAAAGCAAGGTTCATTTTCGCGGAACCAATAAATACATCCTGACTTCTTTCATTGTACCAACTGTTCGGGTTTCTCGCATATAGACGTATTGTCAACTGTGTGGCTCTGAAAATGTCAAACGTCTTCTTTCCCGTTGGTCTCCAATTTGGGCTTTCTTTGGTCCCATCAAAGGCGCTGATAGAGACTTCAGATCCATCGCACTCCAGGATAGTATAGGGCATGCTCCAGCGATTAGACCGACGTCTTTCAGATTGCTTGGATACTGCTTCAAATTGTGGGACTGATAAGCCCATACCCCTGTGAACTGTTACTGCCAGCATTCCAGGTCCCGGAAAGTTCTGCGACTCTATAGGGATAATCTCAGGCCCTGTCCCCATTCACCCGTTAGCCAGTGTCAATTATACTAGCAGTTTCATTCACATACTGCGCGGATCATCATCCTCTGGAATGAGAGTGCGGGGCCTGATCGCTGGAAAACGAGAGAAAGTCTCTTCTGGCATCCTACCAAAATATCTTTTGTTATGAAATCTGATTGGAACTTCGTGTTGTAAAGAAGACAGATACAATATTATTGCTGCTTACTTCTCAGACAATCATATTGAAAAATGGGAGTTTCTTGGAATGGGAGTAGATGTCCATCAAGCGGCTAGTCTTCGTAATTTTCAAAATACCCGTCGTATTACCATGAAATTACCGTAATATGTCGACTATATGTTGGTCATTGTAACTAGCGATACACCAGTCCATTACGCCTCAATGTGATCCAGGCTAGGGTTACATCGGTTATCCTAGTAACAACGGATTCGGAACGCTGTATTAGCTAGTATTGAGAATACTATATAATCTGCATAGCTAACTAAAGAGAACATTCAGGGGGTTACTTGAGGCCATATTTATGATCAGAATAAGGGTCAACTAAGACACGTATTTGATGCCTATTCTGGCCAATTAGGTGCACCTCTGTGAAATACGGTGTTGGTTGTGGATTACATGCTGTATTCGGAATAGCGGTCATAATCCGCTGTCACCTAGTCATGTTATATCGAACGTAGTTAATGATTTTGGTTTAAATCAGAATTAACCAGTCAGCACTAGTCCGACATTTTCACACCTTCCTAATTAGGTAAATTGGGTGCCTTGGGCAAGCCAGAGCCCAGAGCAACGACTTTCCATACAGTGCAATGTAACAAATTTGAAGCTTAGAAATCACGAACAAAATTTCAAACGTGGAGAGCAGATTCTTGCTGCTGGATAGGAATACTTGATCAACTGCAGTACGTCTGACCATCACAGAATTCCTGTACAAACATAGTAACCCAACCACAGACTACCGCACGAGCTTCCAACTCCCGAGTTCCATGCGTAAAAATCACTTAACGAGATATTTGCAGCCTCGGCAATGGAATCACAGGAGTCTGTGCTGACAACGTCGTGGAACTCGTCGCAGTCGGTTACCATTCCTGCCTGTGTAGGAGTTGGGGTGGTCACTCCATTGCCCGTAGAAGTGGTCTGTGTAGCACTCGTAGATCCAGTGATTCCAATGCATACATAGTCACCAAGGTCGAGACCAGTACATGAAGTTCCCACTGCTGGGTTCCAAGCATAAAAGTTGGTAAGAGAAATCCCAGCAGCTGTAGCAAGAGCAGCGCAGGTGTCTCCGCTAACAACAAGATGAAATGCATCACAATTGCTCACCATTCCTGTCTGGATAGGTGTTGGTGTTGAAATGCCATCCCCACTAGATGAAGAAGAAGTTGTCACTGATGTCGATCCAATGACTCCGATGCAGACGTAGTCCCCAAGGTCGAGACTAGTACATGAAGTTCCCACTGCTGGGTTCCAGGCATAAAAGTTGGTAAGAGAAATCCCAGCAGCTGTAGCAATAGCAGCGCAAGTATCTCCACTGACAACAAGGTGGAATGCATCACAAGTGCTCACCATTCCTGTCTGAATAGGCATTGGTGTTGAAATTCCATCTCCACTAGAAGAAGAAACAGAAGCAATGGAAGCAGAAGACGTTGTTGACCCAATAACTCCAATACAAACATAGTCACCAAGATCAAGGGCAGTGCATGAGCTTCCCACCGCTGGGTTCCAGGCGTAAAAAGTGGCCAGGGAAACATTGGCAGCAGTAGCAATGGCATCACAAGTATCTCCACTGACAACTAGATGGAACATATCACAGTTATTGGCCATGCCGGTTTGGATTGGACTAGGAGTGGAGATGCCATCACCGGTCGTGGTCGTGGCCGTGGTAACCATCGTGGTGGTGGTAATCATTGTGGTTGTTCCGGAAGTCGAAGAAGGTATGTATATGCCCGTCAGAGAAGTAGAAAATCCCGTAGACATGGCGACAAAGTCAATCTGTACGCAGTAGTAGAGGTCTTGGATCATAGTGCAGCCGGAACCCAGTTCGGTGACGCTTGGGTTCTGCATCAAAGTTAGACACGCGTGCATTACAGTAGAACAAAGCAATCAGCACTTACCCATTCTTCAAATTCGGCTGCTGTTAATCCAAAGTAGGACTCAATGATTTCGCATGTCAGAGCATATGACATCTGCACCCATTCCGAGCAAGCAGACGTTGTCCCTGGAGCAGCAGTACCGGGAGGTGTCACCAAGTATGCACCTACCAGCTTGATGCTTACCAGGGCATATACAACCCGGTAGAAGAGGTTCATGGTTGTATGAACTGGAATCTCGATTCGAAGAAAGCACGACTCAGCAAAAGTTCAATATGCCAGCAGAGACACTAAATATTTCATAGGCTACCACTTCCCTGTGTAAAGGTGTTTGGATACCTTTGGCCTTAGAAGCGAATGCCCCGACTGCCGGAGAGGTTTCTGTTTATACCAACGGAGGCTTCTTTGAGCGGGAGAGTTCTTCTCCACCGGAGTTATACGAAAATATCTGCGAAAAAGGAAGGTCCAACATTTTCTTGCTCGTTCACGCGTGCCTAGGCCCGAGAAATTTGATTTCCTCTGTGTATTGTTCACCCAATGTGGATTATGGCATGGCACATGTTACACAGTTACAGAAAATCTAAGTTAGATTGTAAATTTTCATCTATACGCACATATCGATTAAGCCTTAGGCCTGCACTTGCCATTAGTACTAGAATGCTAAGACCGCACTACTGCGTTTGTACTCTATATGTCCTAGTTAGTGGCTTATTGGCCCTTGCCCGAATCGCTTGCCCTAACATCAGGAACATCAGATGGTGTTCGCTCCATTGTAGGAATAATAGTAATAAATTTTTCACGTGGTAGCATAATAGACAATTGGTTCCAATGTAATTCGCACCATCTAGCAGCTTTTTGTAGTCCGTTCGTTTTAGCGCAATATGCACTACAACCATGACTTCTGTCTTCTAGCGTAGATAGTATTCAGCTCGGTATTGGTTTTTCTGTGATGAAGAACATTCTAATCACTATATTTTAATGTCAAATTTTGGCAGCTGTATTAAAGTAGCCGTAGAGGCGTGTTTACTTTAGTGGTATTGGTAATACTATTGCATTATAGTGCGGTGAGGTACAGCACAGCAAGGATCAGGATCAGGGCCCTGTCAAGCGCTAATATAGTTTACAGCTGAGCCTTAGCCAGTAGTAGTACGAGCCTCAGTCAGTACAGTTATATCAAGATAGTTGCATATACGGAGTATGTATCTAGAAACCGCTCTAGTTTGATTAACATAATGTAACATGATGCATTATTTAGGATCTAGGTGCTCCTTCAAGCATGATGGTTCTGCTAATTTCACTTCAAGGTGTTACTTGTTATTCCAAGGTTGCTTCCATAAATATGGTATAAATTAATCAAATTACTATGTCACGCTGCCGTTCGCTATGCCCTAACGGCGCCTATCGACGGAATACCATGCACGGGGAGGGAAAGGATGGCTAGCTGGGGACATGAGCATAAGCCCTCATAGTCATACACCAAATATTTCCGTATAAAACAAATTCCCAGTAGATAGGTAGTAGGAGCATCTCATAGACCTCATACGGGTACAGAGCCGTACATAAGCTATGCTGACAAAACCCTAATCGTCCGAGCCGTGTTCGTCACATACTACCATTCTAATTAGCAGAGCACCTTCTTCTCTGCCCGCCACTTTGATAATTATGATATTTGAGTGCGGATCAAAACTAATGGGGAGTCTGCACCAATCGGACGTGATCCATCAAAATGCACCAAAACTTTTTGATTGAGGCACTAAATTCTAATGCCCCATAAGGGGCTCCTTCCTGGTGGGGTGGTTTAGTGCATTTTTGGCCTATATCTAGTATAATTGTACATTATACTACTGCTGTTATCGCCAGGGCCCTGGGGTCAGGTGACATGGCGGGCGCCACGTTGATCGTCTGGGAGCCACTATTCAATGCTAAATGCTTATATTATTATCCGGAGGAACTTGCAGTGAGGTTTCTTCGTACGGAGATTTGCTCGTTCCTCGTTCCCTCGTTCCTACGCTCTCTTTCTCCGTTGAACAGAATTATGTCCAAGCTCGTGCAGGAGAATCTCCCCGAGCTATCATCACCAGCTACTCCGCACTAAAAGTTCTCTAGTCACAAGCAGGCCTAGTCCATTTATCTGTAAAAATCTCAGAAGAATGCTAGGCTTATTCAAGTAAGAAACTAGGTATTTTGTATCTTGCAGTTCACATTTTTAGGCATTGTTCAAATATTTCCCTGTCATTTCTCCCGTCGTGATATCTCCGTGGTAATTCAAGATTCAACCACTAACACTGTTTGCATCCACTGGAAACCCCCCAAAGAATAGGACAGCGGGCTTTTTCGGGTTGTTGTCTGGAGTTGCAGGCGGATTGCGTACCAAGTATGAGGCCATCGCAAAGAAGTTGAAAGACTCCGGGTTTCTAGTAATTTCCGGATTTTGCTTCTGTGCCGCGTTGACAATGGACCCCAGGCCCGCTAAATATCAAATATCATGATTAGTCAGTTGGTCAAATAGTGCTCTCCCACAATAAATAATAAATTAATTTTTAAGAAAAAGAGGGGGAAAGAGAAAGAGAGGGCAAATACATACGGAAGGGGTCACCGGTTATAGGTTTCGTCTTGGTATCGGTAGTGTAATCAGTCAAGTGGAACAATTCGTGATAGAAAGTTGCACTGATGGGAGTAAAGGCGGCCAAACTCTGTGCTCGGCTCCCAGCTGTCGGATAGTTTGCGTACGTGATGGCGTCCGCGAGGGATGCTAGAGCAGTATTCTCTTTCACTCCTGGTCTCTGTGTCCAACCGTTGTTGCAGAAGTAAATGAACCTTTCGAACGTCCCAACTTTGACGTCTATACCATCCTTGACATTGTCGGCTGCCCTTGCACGAGGAGTAGCCGCGTAAAGAGTGGAAAAACACAGTCTCTCCACATCTGTACCCTGCACAACGTAGCCGTTGAAAACATCGGCCCAGAAAGGCTCCATAGATTTACCTCCTTGGATTCCCTCGTACAAATCGGGGAACAGCTGCTCAAGGGTAAACACATTGTCCCCGCTGTTAGGTTTCGGGATAGTATTTCCATTCTTGTCTTTGGCGGGTTCATCCCAGTCGGCAAAGTCGGCGAATGCGTCGGAGCACCAGAACAAAGGCTTAGTTCTAGCTTTGGCACCTCGCACACCATTTCCGTTGAGAAACTCGGTGACGCCAGCAAGACGATCTAGTTGTTGAGGTCAATTCACACTTTCGGCCCAGGCCTTTTTTGAGAGAAATCGCTCACCTCCCATTTCCTTGTACATGTCACTATCTTGATCCGTTGTAGGAGTCCCAGGAGCGGAAAATTTCATACCCATGAAAAACCACAGATGTGCCGCATCTTTTAGGCCATTACTAAAACCATAGGCTGCCACAGCAGCGTCGTGCAGTTTGACCGCATCTGCGATCCAAGCCGTGAGCTGTGCCTGTTGAGCTGCCGAGCAGCCTCCTGGGGTATTCTCAGATTTGATGCTAAACAGATCAGTGGCTGTCATGGCTCGACGGACGAGAAGATGTTCCACGCCAGTTGCATTATGCGATGCGAAACAAACGTGGAAGAGAGTCGAAAGTGGCAGCAGAACTGCGAGAAAATAACGCATCTTGAACCAAATTCTAGATATGATAGATAGAGTATTTCGACCCTGCAGGGAGAGTCTCGTAGAATGTATGATGAAGGGAGGCTCAGCGGAAGTCTATGAGGAAGAATTTTCTCTTTCAGTCAACTAGACCATGTCCGTAGCCCAAGACAAAATAAAACCGCTTCTAGGGCCATTGTTAACTTACGCATTGGGACTCTTCACCGTCACCCTCTCCTTCATTCTCTAGTCCTTCGGTGGCTTCGACTATCGTAAGCGCTTGACTTAGGCCATGCATATAAGCTAAGGATAAAATTACATGCGTGAAACAGCTGCGCCGCATGCCTATTCTGGTAATGCTCCTCCGGTTCAAGGCATTTTCATTCACTGGTCATATCCGGTTAATTGGGTAGCGCATGGTCTGTATACCGCGTGATAGCAACAGTCTCCACGAGCTAGGGTGTATTGAGGGACTTATTTATGTGAAAAGGCCTGTGGAGACACAAAAGAAAGTAGCATTCAAGCTTCAGGTAGTACTCGGAGCTTATGGCTGGCTCACTCGATGATACTTGCTTGCAATAGACGAACGCCATGAGTCGTGGCCCCTAATTTTATCCTGCATGTTTAACACCTGTGGTCTGCATAGTCAGAAAGCCACAAATACAAAACGCACACCGGTACGTATTTACGATTTTACTGTCATCAGAAGTGCATTTCAAATTGTGGGAACAATCTATTGTTTCTCTTAACGGAGCGTTGAACCGGACTTTTCACTAGACTTTGCGAGGGGGCAGGCATTCGGGCGGAATTCATATGATTGCCTGTAGGGGTGCCTCCCACATTGTCTTTATTTCTTACTCTTCTTCCTTCCTCTCCTGCCTTGAGTCTTTCTGTTTTGTCACGCTTTCGAGCACAAGGTTGCTCGGTTCTCTGCAAGCCTGATTACATCCATCATGAGGTTTTACTCACTAGGCATTTCCTGCCTTATGGCAGCAGCATCTTGCGTGCCTGCTGTATCTGCTGCTGTATCTGATGATGCTAGCAACGCTGCTGCGGCTTTTCTTTCTACCAAATCCTTTGAGACTCTTCCTGCCCCAGCGTCTGTTGAAACTCCGAATCGTGCAGCCATTAAGGCCGCTCTACTAGCTGGAAACTATACTTCCCCGATCAATTCTACCACTAGAAGCCGCTGCCCTTCAAGCTGCAGCAAGGCGGGAGTTGATTCCAGTGACTGGTTTGCCTACCATAGTGTTGGCCGTCTCAACCTATGCAACGAGACGATGCTTCTTGACTTTTCCTTGCTCAGCGATTTCGAAAGTCCGGGATCAAAAACCAAAATCTCAGCCTGTACAGCGGACCTGACTTCAACCAATGGGCCAGAGTCGAACATTACTACATGTAATCGAGACGATGTAAACTACACCGAAGTCACCTCTTCTTTGCAGATGATTTCTTCCGGTACTTCTTCTGCCGCCAGCCTGCCCGCCGTTTCCAATGCCCTAGCACAATTGCAGGCATTCTCAAGCCTATCTAATGGGGACTGCAATGAAAGAATCTACCATGCCTACTCTACTGAGGCGGCAGTTGGCGTTTACGTCGGGTCAAACCTAGCTCCTCAAGGCGTCATCGACTCCGTCCTTGACCAACTTTCCACTGCACTGGAGAACGACGGAAGCGTTCCAACAAGTGTCGCTGTCCAGCTATGCGATGATAATGGTTTATCCAGATACTCTCTGGGAGTGTTTATCAGCACCGAAGCCGATCTGTCGACCGCTCAAAATGCCGTCCAGACCTGGAAGAATGGCAGTTGCCTCACCACCATGGAGGACACAGTTCCTGCTTGGCAAAACATCACTTTTCTAGCTCCAAGCATCGTCCATCACTCCAGTAATAGCAGCGTGGCATATAGTAATGTCACTTCAGCCGTTCTCAAGTCTCGCAACAAGCTCCTCGCCCGTGACACATGCAGCACTATTCAGGTTCAGTCAGGAGATACGAGCACATCCCTGGCCACTGAATGTGGCATCACAGCCGAAAAGTTCATTGAGTACAACCCAAATTCCACGCTAGCTACGGGTGAGAATGTCTGCTGCAGTGCAGAATCGCTCCCTCATTTTGCGCCCCAGCAAGACAGCAACGGGACCTGTTATTCCTACACCGTTGTGAGCGGTGATCTCTGTTCTACACTCGCAGCGACTTATGACATTACCGTGGATGATATCGAAACTTGGAACAATGAAACCTGGGGCTGGACAGGCTGCACTGATCTGATTATCGGAGACCTTATATGTCTCAGCTCTGGTTATCCCCCAATGCCTGCGCCGATTGCCAACGCTGAGTGTGGACCACAGGTACCCAATACGCCTACAGCACCGGTGGGTTCCAATTTTAGCACATTGAACGAATGTCCTTTGAATGCTTGTTGCGATATCTGGGGCGAGTGTGGCACAACAGCCGAGTTCTGTACCATATCCTACTCGAGCACAGGCAACCCTGGTACGGCTGCGAAAAACCAAAATGGATGTATCTCAAACTGTGGGACCGACATTATCACATCCACTGCTCCAGCGCGCCAGTATACTATTGCATACTTCGAGGGTTTTAATTGGCAACGACCGTGTCTAAACGGAGGTGTGCAAACCCTCAATACGTCGGCCTACACGCATGTTCACATGGGTTTTGCTACAATCAACCCAGATTGGTCCATCAACACGACCGACATAGACCCGCAGCTTCCATACCTGGAGGATCTTCAAGGGGTTAAAAAGATTTTATCTATTGGAGGCTGGTCTTTCTGCACGGACCCTAGCACTTACATGATCTTCCGGGACGTGGTCGCTTCCGAGTCAAGTCGGTCAACACTGGTCAACAATATCGTAACTTACATGAATGACAACAATCTGGACGGTGTCGATATAGATTGGGAATACCCCGATGAGCCTGATTTTCCTGGTATTCCTGCGGGGACTCCAGAAGACAGTACCGGGTACTTTTTGCTCCTCGAACAACTCAAAGAAGGTATTGCGGCAAATGCTACGGGTAAAACAATCTCAATCACAGCTCCTGCATCTTTCTGGTATCTGCAATACTTCCCCATCCTGGCCCTAAGTAGCGTCATTGATTACATTGTTTTCATGACATATGACCTTCACGGGCAGTGGGATTACGGTAATGCTTATTCGGACCCGGGCTGCTCTGGTGGTAACTGTCTACGCTCGCACGTGAACCTGACTGAAACCATCAACGCCTTGTCCATGATCACCAAAGCCGGTGTTCCTTCCAACATGGTAGCAGTTGGCGTGGCCAGTTACGCTCGCAGCTTTGAAATGACCACTGCGGGCTGCTGGACGGACATGTGTACTTATACTGGACCGACTTCAGGGGCTCTTCCAGGACCCTGCACCGATACGGCCGGATATCTCGCTGACTACGAGATAGACCTGGTGACTTGGGAGAACCCAACTGTCGAGCATTACTTTGAGGAGACATCCTACTCAAACATTTTGGTGTACAATGAGACGCAGTGGGGTGCCTATATGAACGGCACGAACAAGGCGACTCGCAAGATTATCTACGAATCCCTCAATTTTTTGGGCACCTCTGACTGGGCGGTCGATTTGCAGGCTCTCTTTGCTGGAGATAATGACACGAGCAGCAACAACTCATCGGATTCCGAAACTATCTACATTGATCCTGATATCTGGAATTCCCCTTCTGCTGTGGTGACAGCACCGCCGGGAGCGACGCTCATCTGGCCACCAAAGCCCCTGGCCACCACAACCACGATTGAATTCCCGCCGTGGACTACCACCATCTCGTATTCATCTTTGACAACCTCTACAAGTACTCTAACAGACGGTTCGACGACGACATTCCCGTGGTATATCTACGTTCCCATCCCTACCGTGATTGCTATTCCTCCAGGTAAGATTGCATGCTGGGTACGTTTCTGTATAGAAGTTTGTCCACTGACAAGTCATTCAACCGTTAGTTACGACCACAGCAATTCCTGTCTGGGCCGTATATCTCAACTCGAGTTCTACAGGGGGAGATATCCACGTCACAAGCTCTGTGCAGCCACCGCCTTTCCCAGTGGTTGTTACTCCGTAAGTCATGATCATAACACACCGTGATAGTTTTCTGACCATTGTTGTTCAGGGTTATGAATGGGACAATATCCGTTATCAATCCCACTACCACATCCACCAGCACAGGAGGAATTTTTATCTGGGGCGACCAGACCGAATCGCTGCCTGCAGGAACCGAGACGATTGGAAGTAGTACGACGGTCGTCGGCGGCACCACCTTGTCAGCAACGACGACTACCGTGACGCCAAACCCGCATCCCACAACCACACAGACAACCACTGACCCGGCATTGAATTCGGGCTCGACCGGGTGGAAATCAGGCAAGACAGGTTCACCGACAGCTTCCGCAGGCTGCTCTGGATGTGGTAAATCTTGTATGTGTAGACTCTTTTGTCGAGTAAGAATATATATTCCTTTGACTGACCACGGCGTATCCCAGGCACTTTGTTTTGTGATCCAGGCTGTGCTTCTTGCCCTCCAGGTACCTTTGGCAACACGGGCAGTAGTAGCGGTAACAACCCTAACCCTAACGACGACAGCTCAACTACGGGCACAGCGTCGGGCACCACATCGACGGGCACGTCGACAGCTGCCAGCGCAACGGTGTATCTCGCTCAGACTGATATGGGCGATACCATGGCGACGGTGACCCCGGATTTGTCGGTCCTTGCTGTAAGTAATGCCCCTCCGTCTAGTATCTGACAGTCAAAGAATGACAGTCAGTAAATAACGAGTTGCTCGTGCTTTCATGCCGTTGTGATTCACATATTTATTTCTTGTTGATGTGTGTTTCATACTAATATAACTGACTAATAGTCACTGGAGTCCGCCGATATTTCAATGTGGAATTCCGCATTTCCCAGCGACCAAGTTGCCGCTACCACCACTACTACGAGTAGTACTAGTACCACGCAAGCGTCAACAACTTCCACTACGTCTGCAGCTCCTTCGCCGACAGCTGAGTGCTATTTCTGGGGTATGTAACCCAAGATCAAGTTTCTTATTACCGTCAAGATTGCATCTACGTTTGTTCAAACACGCTAACTATTTCCTTTCCTTGGTATAGACGAAGATCTCATTGCTTACCAGTTCAAAATCTTCAACATTGAAGGCTGGGCAACGGACGGTGGTGCGAGTCTCCATAAACAGGAGGACGGCTGCGGTGCTCTTACGTTCTGGACGTGGTATGATGCAACATCAACCGAGGATGCGTATGTGTATTTTGATCTTCCCTTCTTCATCAAGTCAGGTTGTGTGGAGAGGGCGATTGTGTCTGCTGGAGGCCCAAAGTTGTCTTGCAAAGGACAGGGCACAGACTTTCCCCTCCACAAAAGATCATTGGATGAGCGTGCATCGAACGCTTCAGGGCCAGTTCCACTACCTCTGACAGACGCTAAGCTTTATGCGCTGGGGATTGTTTATGGGAATAATACTGGCTCATTCCAACAATATGTTCCTATGAATTGGACTGAGTCTGGGTCATCATAGAGGACAGGTCATGGAAGCTGCTGGTCTTCAAGAATCCACTGGAATACTGTCTACTGACAGTTCACCTATCCACCCGATAAACCGTTTAGTTAGGTTACAAGGATGACAAATCTGATCTCTAGTCATTATTTTATTGAAGGTAGTTTATTTTACAACACCTGTTTGCACCCTTTCTTCAGGATTAACCCGGAAGCCGCTAATTCGACCCCTCGCACACCTTCCTAATTAGGTAACCAGCGTGTCTTCGGCAAGCTAGAGAGCCCGGCGCAACAGATTTTCCTATAGTGCAATATAATAAATCTGAAGCTTGAAATCGATATAATAAATCTGAAGCTTGGAATCAAAAGTAACATTGCATACGTAGATAGGAATACTTGATTATGAACCATGTAGGGACGCCTACTTAAGGTACAGAAGCCGGAGAGATGAGGCTAAATAGACTAAACTGCAACCATGAAAAGGGGGTATACAAAGCTCAATGGATCAGTAAAAAGGCTCTAATCCAGAAAATCTTAAAGTCTTCTCGATAGCAAAGAGTGGAATGTGCTCCCTCTCTTCCCCTTCCAAAGCCATATGAAGCAGCATTAAGTGACATACAAAAACTACGTGCTTTCTTCAAGGTTCAAGTCTAGTGGCGGTCAGTTGCACCACAATAAGACGTTTGAATTTTGAAAAAAAAAAATTATTCTATCTGAGTGTCAAAGTCTTCAGGCCGGGTGTGGTAACATCTACTTTCTCCCAGAGACTTCAGCGACCCGTTAAGCAGCATATCACTGGCATGTCCGTCGTATCTCAAATTTCTAATTGAAGATTCAGGTATAGATAACGTTATAGATGAAGAAGTTACAAAATATTAAGAGTAAGCCTACAGAGATATTTGACGGCACATATACATAGCGTACAACATGAATTATTGCGTCCCTCCCTGCGCATCAACGGCGTTGGCGTCCCACACTCTCTTCAAATCTAACGAGATCAAATTCCAAAGCCATTCCTGCGTCCAATTCGGCAGTGCAGGAATTTAACTTCCCGCACCAACCCAGTCAGGGATGTTGACCTGTCCACTATGCCCACCCAGGACGTGTTTGACAATCACCTTGGCGACGTCCTCGACTTCAAGAACGGGTTGTCTAACTTTTACTCTACAGTCGGTGACGGATTTTACCAATGGTGTTCTGACCCACATTGGGTAGACGATGCTATCTCCTCATCAGCGTGTTTGAGAAAAAGGGGTGGGGACGACGAATACCTTGTGCAGACTTTTTTAGTCTTGTGAAGCAATCGAATCTCCTGTGTCAAGCCTTCGTGGAATGACATTGCACTCGCTTTGCTAAAAGCATAATCTGACATTTCGCTGGGACCTAAAAAGCTGCATGTGCTCGCAATGGTGATGATATGGCCATGATTCTGTTTGAGCATTGCTGGCAGGAATTCACGGACTGTCCACCAGTGCGCGAGGGTATTGACTTCGAATGTAAGCCGAATCACAGATTCAGGCTTATCGAGGATAGATCCTTCCTGGCCAACGCCGGCATTGTTAATGAGGATTGTTGGGTCGCCGTGGTCAGCGCGAATCTGGGCGCCAGCTTGTCGGATGCTGGATGTAGAGGTGACATCGCATTTGTAGAAGTAGACATTTTTTGCTGTATTATATTCAGCTCTGTCTGGCTCTCTAAAAATGGAAGAAAATAACGTACGAAGGGGGCTGCTGGGCTCCTGGATATCTACAACAATCACTTTTACGCCTCGACGCGCCAATCCGCGTGCAACAACACCTTGTCCAATGCCACTACATCCACCGGTCAACAGAACAATCTCGTGCGACCAGTCATATTTATCGGACATCCAATTGTTGAGTGCAAGAGTCGACAATACGCGATTAAGCTTTGCGAGCAGCTTCAACGCAATGACAACAGCCAAAAGGTTGCGTGTTGTTGACGAGAGGAGAATGCTCTCAACATTCAGGGTGAGTCTTTGAATGTTGGGTCTTTGGACTTTGGATATTATTGCTATTTTGTCTAGCCCTTTTTTTTTAATGCTTTTGAAAGTGTAGAAGTATATCTTGGGCTGCTATTGAATAGTGCATTGAAATATCTTGCAGACCTGGGGCAGTAGAGTAAATGCAGGCCTGCATTTTGGGGGTTACCTAGGTAATGGAGCAAGGAATTTATATACTGCCGAAAAGGGCCACGGAACTGATTAAAAATGAAGCCATCGGAATATATATCGGCTTCAGGCGTAATCTTTCTAATTGTTGATTTTCATCGTTTCTGAATACCTCGTAATCCAGCTTCCATCATGCTCAGAATAATGTATGCTCATAGACGAGCAACATGTTTTTGCGGGACATGAAGTTGAAGGTGTCGTTATGGCTTGGAGAGATGATAATAAGTGACGAGACATAAAGATCTAATGAAACGCAGAGATAATCAAATGCGTGGGATGAGGAAAGAAGACAAAAAGTGGCTGATTACTGCTCTTTACTGAGCGCTTTATAAAAGTGGCGGTAGGAAACCCTACTACAGTGCTCCACCACTTACCGCCCGGAACCATTTAATGCCTAATTTTTCTGCAAAACGTGAAAATATACATATTTTTTAACATCAAATATCTCAATGAATATAGCTCCAATTAATGAGGTAATTAGATTTTTAAACTCACAAGATCTTAATAAAAAGATTAATATGTCAGAAACTTCGGTTGAATTACCGTCGAGTATAGCTAGGATAGCTATTAACAGGTGAAGTTAATAGGCTTCTAAGATCAAAAGGTCTAGTAGATGAAAGAAATAAGAATAAGGCTTCTAAATATCTTAATTAATAGAAGATTATATATTTAAGTTATTACAGTTAATTTAAGATAATAGAAGAAAACTAGATATAGAATAAATAAGTATTCTTTATAATTTTCTTCTATTATAGCTAATATAGCTATTGCTTTATTTGCTCTATTCTTATAGATATAATTAATATAGCTATAGCTCTATTAACTCTATTACTCTAATCCTAATAATTATAGATAATCTTTTATTTTATTATATATTAGTTTCTCTTATTTATTAGCTATAATATTTTAATTCTCTAATAATCCTCTCTTTTAAAGACTGGTATCTTAATAACTTAATAAATAGCTTATATTTTTAGATATATAAAAAATTAATTCTAATTTTTAATTTTCTATAATATATAATTTTATAATTTTATATTAATTATATCTTTAAAATAAAATATTAATAAGAATAATCTTATATTATATATTAAGTAGTTTAATATAAAATTATTTTTATCTTACTTTTATTACTTTTCTTTAAATAAAATTTATATAAAATTAGAAATATTATTACACTATAATAAGTATATAAAAAATAATTATTATAAATATATACTAATAACTTCTTCTAATCTTATATAAAAAAAACTTCTTTATATTTAAAAATATTTAGAAGAAGATAGTGTCAGAGAATCAGAACGTCACAGCCAATGGATCAGGTTAGTCACTACGGGACTAATGCACATCGGAACAAAGGATTACCCGCAAAGCCTTAAGGTTAGGGCATCAGAGAAATCAGAGGATTTTTATGATGGCTATAATCTATACATCAGAGAAATCAGAGGATTTCTATAATGGCTATAATCTATGCATCAGAGAAATTAAAGGATTTCTATAATGGCTATAATCTATACATTAAAGAAGTCAGAGGATTTCTATAAAGGCTATAATAAAGGAAAGCTATATAAGAATGCTCATTTACTATATATTTAGTTTTCTTCTATTATCTTAAATCAACTGTGATAACTTAAATATATAATCTTCTATTAATTAGGATATTTAAAGCCTTATTTTTATTTCTTTTATCTACTAAGACCTTTTAATCTTAGAAGCCTATTAATTTTGTCTATTAATAGCTATTCTAGCTATACTTAATAATAATCTAACTAAAGTTTTTAATAATTTAAGACCTTTAGTCGAAAGAGAAATCTTAAGGATAAGTAATAATAATACCTTAAACCCTAGTTTTAATAACCCTAAATCCTAACTTGCGAACTATTAATACTAGTAGTAAGAATACCACAACTACTAATAATAGAGATATAGTAGTACTATTATAATACATTAAAGAATTAGAATAAGCTATAATTAATAATAAAGAAAGATTAAGCTAAGTATTTTAAGAGATTAAAATTAGAATAGTAATTTTATTTAAAAAAGAATATAGAATCTTTAAGATATATTTTACTTAAATATAACTTTATTTTATGTATAATAGTGAATAAATTATAAATAAGTCTAATAAAATACTAGTAATATCAAGCTTTCTTAATAGAGAGACTATAAAGTAGTTTACTCTATATATTACTAATTAGTACTATATATATAGCAATAAAGAATAAAGGAACCCTAAAATAATTATAATGTTTTCTAGTTACTAGTACTATGAAGAAAAACTTAATTAATTATAGGGAATTATTGATAAGGAAATTAAAATTATTAATAAAATCTGATATATTAAATAATAAATCTTAATTAGAGAATACATTTTGAAATTTTTATAAATATTAGGAGGACTTTCATAGAATAATCAAGGATTTAGAGACTAGTTCTATAAAGGACTAAAGGATAATATTAAAGATTGAATCTTAATGATAATATTATAACTAAAAATATTTTAAGTAATAATAAAAGTAGTATCCTAGATTAATTTAACTATATATATCTAATAAATAGAAAAAAAAGAGTTTAGAAGAAATAAAGCAAATTTATATCAGAAATAAATTAAAAATAAAGATAAAGATATAATAATATAACTAAATGTAATTTTGTTTAAAGAAGAGAAAAATAAATTAAGAAAAAATAAAGCTTATTTTAATTATAGAAAATTAGATTATTTTATAAATTAATGCTGAAAGTTAAGAAAGAATTAAAAATTAATTATTTTAGATTTAAAAGAGCAAGTCGCAATAATGATTCTATTGATTTTAATTGATAATAGTAAAGCTGATAGAACAGTTAATAATAAGATTAATTTTAATGAAGACTTAAAGTAATTAATTAAAGATAAAGAATGATAATTAGAATAAATAATGAATTATAAATAAATTTAAGTAAAATAGATATAATAAATTAAAAAATAAGAAGCTCTAGAATAATTAAAGAAAATATTTAGTAATCTAAATAATAAAAATAAAAAATAAAAATAAAAAAGATTTAGTCTTAGAAAAAGTATTAAATAAATAAGATAAGTTAGTATTAATATAAGAAAGAGATACTAATCTTATAATTTAAGAGAAGAATTAATTAGCTAGGTATTTCTTATATATTATCTTAAAAATATTAAAGACTTATTAAAAGGATATAGTAAAGACATTAATTTAGAAGAAATTAATGTAGAAAACTTTAATATAAAAGATATCTAAGTAAAATTTTTATTAGAAGAGTTACTTTATATTTAATTAATATTATAGGATAATAAGCTAATAATAATAATTTATAAGGACCTGTATTAAGAATTAAATAAAAATCTTATTAAGAAAGAATCGAATGAAGTATAGAATAATGTTATTTAGCTTTAAAAGAATAATTAATATAGTTATATATTAGTAAATATAACTTGCTAGAAGAGGTCTTAATAAAAATAAAAAGATTATATCAAAGAATATAAGTATTGTAAAGAATAGATATATTATATATATTAATGATATAGATGAATATATATATCTCTAGTAAATATATATAAATATATATTATATGAGTAAGGATGATGCTTTTGTAATGGAATAACTAGATATATAAGGAATTGCTTTTATTATCACTATTTAATATTAGGAGGAAATTTGCATTGGGAAGTATATTAGATAATTGTCAGAGAATCAGAACGTCACAGCCAATGGATCAGGTTAGTCACTACGAGACTAATGCACATCGGAACAAAGGATTACCCGCAAAGCCTTAGGG